AATGTACTTCCTGCAGCCTCACCCACTGGGTGAGGGCCATCACCAGCATCTGTACCAATGATCAACGTCAGACAGCAGCCAATACCAGCCCAACTTGCCCTCAATTATTCTACACAAACAGCTAACAGATATGTGCAACATTCTTATCCTCCATCACAGTCACTAAGAGACAGGTGGTAAGTACTTAAGTGCTGCCAAACTAGCAAACAGAATAACACACAACTCCTACTTGCTCAGATAAATCAAAACAAAATAAAATAAAAAACCAAAACAAAAACCTAGGAAAATCACACCAACAAACAGTCATCAATTAAATATAAATACAAAGACATCACAATGTGTCAGAGATACTGACAATTCCATTTCCTAAAAAGAAATATAAGCTAGTTCAAAGGAGCCAGAAAACCCTCCTGAAGAAGTGGCACTGGAACTACCTGATAAGGAATTCAAATGCATTATATTTAGGTACCTTCAATGGAATGAGAGACAGATCAAGGAAACACTCACAAAATCAAGGAAATACAGACAGAACTCTAGAACAATTTAGGAAAATACAAGACAAAATAAATGAAAAATCAGAAACCATACAAAATCATGAATAGAAACTCAGAAGATTAATACTAAGATTTCAAAATTGGTAACATATTGAAAGGGCAAAGGAGTAGAAATGAATCAATGGAAGACAAAATAAGTGACACTGAAGACAAATCTCTCAATATTACTTTGTTAGAGGAACAAAGAGAAAAAAGATTGAAAAAAAGAAGAAAGCCTAAGATTTATGTGTGAAAGCATCAATGGGAATAACTTAAGTGTGATTGGAATTCCAGAACAAGAAGAGACAAAACCAGTGAGAATTGTCAAAGAGTTACTGGGAGACAATTTCCCTACTATGATGAAAGATGAGAAGATATGCATTCAAGAAGTTCAATGAACCCCAAATAGGATAGACCCCAGAAGAAAATCACCAAGACATATCATAATCAAACTTACCAAAACCAGACAAATAAAGAATCCTGAAACCAGCATGGGAAAAATGAAAAATTACCCACAAAGTTCAACTAATAAGACTAAGCTCTGATTTCTTGGCAGAAAGCAGGCAGGAGAGAAGGCAATAGGATGACATATATAAAACTTTGAAAGAAAAAACTATCAATCAAGAATTTTATACCCAGCAAAATTCTTATCAAATATGGTGGCAAAATTAGGACATTTCCAAATAAATAGAAATTAAGGGAGTTTGTAAAAATTGGACCAACCTTACAAGAGATGTTAAAGGGAATCCTTCAGACAGAGAACCAACAACAGCAGTCAACAACTGATGATTAACACACATGACAATATAACCCAGAAAACAACCCAGATTTGGAAGTGTCTCAAGTAAAATAAACTTACAAGACTATAAATAGGGAACCAGAGATACCAATTGCTAAATGAGGACAACTACACACCAAAAAGAGGGAATAAACAGTATAGGTACAGAACTTCCAAATGGAGAGGAAGTCAAGATGATAACAGAGTTTTAAACTTAAGAGAATAATAAAAGATAGGGTAACTTGAAAGAAAATAACACACCTTATTATAAAAATTAAAAAGGCACAAATATTTAGCAAACACTAAAACAATAGCAACAAAGGAGATAGCAACATGATTCATAAAGAAAATGAGCTCAGTGCAGAAAATTATACTGAACAAAGAAATTAGCAACATGACAAAAAAAATAACAAAATGACAGCAATAAATTCATACTTGTCAATAATTACACTATATATAAATGGATTAAATGTACTAATCAAGATACAGAGTCTTGCACAATTGATCAGAAAACATGACCCATCAATATGCTGTGTACAAGAGAGATACCTTAGACATAAAAACAAAACAAAACAAAACAAAACAAAAAAAAACAGAATAAAAATCAAAGGTTGGAAAAAAAATATACCAAGCAAATGACAGTCAAAAAAGGTGAGTGGCAATATTAACTTCTGGTAAAACAGACTTTAAGACAAAAATGACCACAAGAGACAAGGAAGGACATTATATAATGATTAAAGGATTAATTGAACAAGAGGACATAAACATAATAAATACCTACACATCCAATGAAGAGCCCAGATATACATAAATCAGACTTTACCTGAATTTAAAAGAGCAATAGATGAATCCACAGTAATAGTAGGAGACTTTGATAAATCACTTTCAATGAATGATAGAACAACTGAAAAGAAACTCAACAAAGACACAAAAGAACTAAATCATACAACCAATCAAACTTGACCTTACAGACATATACAGAGCATTTCACCTAATAGCACAACATACGTTCTTTTCCAGTGCATATGGCACATTCTTCAGAACAGACCATGCATTAAGCCACAAAGTAAGCCTCCATAAATTAAAAAACATCAAAATACTGCAAAGAATCTTGTCAGATAACAATGCTATAACATTAGAAATCAACAAAGGGAAAATCAAGGAAAAAAAGCAAACACCAGGGAATTGAATAACACCTTCCTTAAAAAACTACTGGGTAATAGAATAAATAAGAAACTAAAAAATTCCTTGAAGCAAATGAGAATGAAAATACAACATACCCAAATCTTTAGGACACAGCAAAAGCAGTGACCAGAGGGCAATTTATAGCAATATATGCACACATCAAGAAATAAGAAAGAGACAAAATCAACACCTTAACCCAGACTATCCAAAAATTAGAAAAGAGCAGCAATAAAGAGCTTACAGTCACCAAAAGAAAAGAAACAATAAAGATTTGTACAGAAATAAATGAAACAGAACACAGAAAAACAATAGAAAGAATCAGTAAGACTAGAACTTGTTTTTTTTTAAAAAAGATTAATAAAATCAACAAACCACTGGCAAATTTAACAAAAGAAAAGAAGGAGAAGATGCAAATAACATGGATAAGAAATAAAATGGGCAACAGAATCAACTGAAATAAAAAGGATAATATCAGGATACTTTTGACAAACTGTACTCCAACAAATTTGAAAACCTAGAAGAAAATGGACAGATTTCTAGAAACACTAAACTAACACAGACTGAGGTGGAAAATTTGAACAGACCCAGAACAAAAGAAGAAATTGAACAGGTCATTAAAAATAAATAAATAAATAACTACCAACAGAAGAAAGTCCTGGCCCAGATGACTTCACTGGAGAATTCTGCCAGTCAGAGAAACCTAAGGCAATAGTGGTAAGGATATGGAAAGAAGGATCAAACTGTTTCAGAACACAGAAAAAGAGAGAATCTTCCCAATTTCATTTTATGAAGCAAGCATAACCCTGATACCAAAATTAGGTAAAGACACCAGTAGAAAGGAAAGCTACAGACCAATATCCCTCATGACTACAGACAAATACTTCACATAAGTAAAATAAATGAAAATAACTACATGATCATATCAATTGATGCAGAAAAGGTATTTGAAAACATCCAATGGAAGTTTATAGAAACCTCCAACAACTCCATGTCAAAAAGACAAACCATCTAATTAAAAAATGAGCAGAAGACATGAACACTTCACCAAAGAAGATATTTAGATGGCCAAAAAACGCATGAAGAAATGCTTGTGATCATCAGGCAGTTAAACTCAATTAAACTCACTGCCATCGAGTGAGACCTGACTCATAGTGACCCGTTCTTGGGTTTCTGAGGCGGTATCACTACGGAAGTAAATTACCTAGCCTTCCAAGGTGTGGCTGGTGGGTTTGAACTGCCAGCCTTCTGGTTAGCAGTTAAATGCCTTAGGCACTATGCCACCAGAGCCCCCAAAACCAACCAAACTCACTGCCGTCGAGTAGGATCTGACTGATAGCGACTCTTCCTTGGGTTTCTGAGATGGTATCACTATGGAAGTAGATTGCCCAATCTTCCTTCTGAGGAGTAGTTGGTGGGTTTGAACTGCCAGCCTTCTGGTTAGCAGTCAAAGGCCTTAGGCACTGTGCCACCAGAGAGATGCAAATCAAAACAATGAGATATAATCTCACCCCAGCAGTAATAACAAAGTACAACAAGAGAGAAAACAACAAATGGTGGTGAGGGTGTGAAGAGATTGTAACTCTTATACACTGTTGGTGGGACTGTAAAATGGTACAACCACTGTAGAAAACAGAAAAGTTGAAAACAGGAATACTACTGGATCCAGCAATCCCACTACTAGGTATATATCCTAAAGAAGTGAGAGCTGGGACAGAAATATATATATGGACACTCATGTTCATAGCAGTACTATTCATAAGAGATGGAAACAACCTAAGTGCCTGTCAATGGAGGAATGGATAACCAAACTGTGGTACATACACACAATGGAATACTATGCAACACTAAATAGTAATGAAGAATCCATGAAATTCCTCATAATGTAGATGAATTTGGAGGACATTATGCTGAGCGAAATAAGTTAATCATAAGACAAAAGCCCCTACTGAAGCAAACTGCCATCTTTATGCTGCTGATGATTACTGGTCGTGTAATATATCATATACAGTCCCAGACTATCTCTGCCTATTAGCTTAGGATTCCAATGCCTGATATTCCTGTACCATAATAATAACCATTCCTCTCATTTTACCTTATTTCATTAAGTAACAATCAAAGATGGATAAATTACTCTACTCCTAAAATTGGTTGAGAAAACTAAGAACCAAAAGTAACAAAAAAAAAAAAAAAAAATTACATTCCCATGCTTATAACTTCCTCCTGCTCCTTAGCTGGTTGAAACCTGCCTTTCTGCTACCAATTAAGAAGGTCTTCTTGGTGCCTACTGGGCCTGGGGATGTTCGGGAGCAAATCCCACTCAGCTAAGGGTGAGGCTACAGCTGCAAGGATGACTCATGCTGGATCCAGAAATGAAACAAATGGTCTCAGAAATTTGGTGGTAACAGGGGGAGGGGCATATGGGGCTACTGCCTTTTCCAGGAAGTTGGTTAGTGAAGCAATTCTGGTAGGAAAAAAGAAAGAAAGAAAAAAACCACTCCACTTACTGATACAAGAAATCAGATCATTAAATCTTTCCTTAGGAAAGAGGGGGTTTTCCAGCCCACGGAAATAGAGCTTCAGAACGCCGGCAACCGAATTAATATCGTGGTTACTCTGGTCATCAGCCAAAGGGTTTTCACCTAAAAAAAAAAAAAAAAAAAAAAAATTAGTTATGTGCACAGAGCTTCTTTTCTTTCCCTGAACAAAAATATGTTTCTATGCACACACACATTTCTATATATACATGCATCTTTTAATCACTATTTATGAAAGATTATATGGTACTAAAATTAAAATAATTGGTTTAGATATCCTACCCCATGATTAACCTAAAAATAGTTGGCTAAAATAAAGCTTCTTTTATATTATGATACCAAATAATCCCTTACAAGTTACCCAAATCTTAAAATAAAATATTGTGGGATTTAAAATTTTTACCCAGCTTTTTTTTTTTTTTTCTAAAAAAGCTAAAATCTGTAATCTTAGTTCAACATGAATTCAAATACTACATTCTCAGTGTTTCTGAGAATATATCCCAGTGGGTAAAAAACACAATATAGGTCTGTCTGTCTGTGCCATATGGGTCAGCAAAATTTATCAGAAGCATTACAGAGTTTGCCTAATTGTAAACACCTGTAATTAAAATAAATAAATAGCTGTTTCTCAAAGTAGCACTGTGGGTACTGATAGCACATTTGAACGCTGTCTTGAGCAGCTGGCAATTTTGAAATCAGACAGAGGAATTTGAAAACATACTCTTAATGGTATCAAGGAATTTTTATTAAATATTAAAGAATATATATCCCACATATATATATTTTTTTAAATAGCAGAAACCAAATAGTAAGCAGTAAAATATTAGGTGCAAAGCTGGCTACCCACATCCTTAAGGATTAAATTGAGACAAAATCTTTAAGAAGTTCAATATAATATGCAGCTTAAACTCAACCATTTTTTATTCACAGGTTCATGCTTCTCTCCTAAACTGCACAACACTAGTACATTTTAATTTTAACTTAATTATTGCTTCTTGGGGTAGTACTTTATTTTCAGGGACTTCCTGTTCCCGCTTCCCTGTTTGCAGGGGAATCCCTACACATGAATTTGCCAAAATATTATTTTACACTTTGTGAGAAAGCCTCACCCTAACAGGTCACAAACAAATAACAAATACCAGGGGTATTTCCAAAGAAAATAATGGAGCACTTTGCCTGTGGTGGCTGGCATGGAAACCTGGGGCTTTACCACATTTCAACTCATGATCCTGAATGTGGTCCAGTGTAAGAGACTTGGCACACTTAGCTGCATACAGTTGGGCGATATCTGCCATCACAGCAGTCCAAGAATTTGGAACGAGAGAAAACAACCTGGTCCTAAGTTTACTACCTCTTTGATCAATGCTCCAACTTTGAGGGCTCTATGCCATGTATGGATCAGGGGAAATAGGATGGAAAGAGAGGGCGACCCTGTCCTCTGTGAATGCTCTCCCACCTGCCTTCTCAGCTTGACCCTCAAGGAGAAGAAGGAAGGTACAGATATGTCCAGAAGTAGACACAATACAAATCATTATAACTGCAGAGCATGAATAACTATTAACCACTATTAAATAGCTAGGCATTTTCATGGATTATATCTAATCCTCATAACAATCGAGCAATATTACAGATGAGGAAACAAAGGCAATAGTAAGGGTTGAGTAACTTGACTTAAATTGTACAATTAGTAAATGGAAGAGTCTGATTGAATTCTAGGTTTGTCTGTCTGTAAAGCCTATGGTTTCACTACTCATTATGTGTTAATTAGCAATTTAGTAGAACCATGAACAAGAGTGAAGCTCCAACCAGGGTTACAGGGAAGAAGTTGGAGGATGGCACTGAGAGGAAACAGCTCCTAACAAACGTAGCAGATGGGAGGTTGGCATGAGCTGCCTTTCACATACCTGGTGTTTGTTGTTGTTGTTGCTAGGTGCCACCGAGTTGGCCCTGACTCATAGCAAAGCTATGTCCTTGCTATAACTGAGCCCATCATTGCAGCCACTTGTGGCAGTCCATCTCATTGAGGGTCTTCCCCTTTTTCATTGACTCTTCACTTTACTAAGCATGATATCCTTCTCCAGGGAATGGTCCCTCTGACAACATGACCAAAGTAGGTGAGACCAAAGAAGTCTGGCCATTTTTGCCTCCAAGGAGCATTCTGGCTGCACTTCTTCCAGGATAGATTTGTTCATTCTTCTGGGAGCTCATGGTACTTTCAGCATTCTTCTCCAATACCACAACTTAAAATCATCAACTCTTCTTCAGTCTTCCTTAGTCACTGTCCAGCTTTCACATGCATATGAACCGACTGAAAATACTACGGCTTGGGCTAGGTTCACCTTAGTCTTCAAAGAGACATCTTCGCTCTTCAGCACTCTGAAGAAGTCTTTTGCAGCAGATTTGCCCAGGGCAATATGAAGTCTGACTTCATATAGGAAGCTTGACTGATGCTTCCAGTGGTGTTGATTGTGGATCCAAGTAATTTGAAATCTTTGACAACTCCAATCTTTTCTCCATTTACTGTGATGTACCTTATTGGTCCAGCTGTGATTTTCATTTTCATTTTCTATGAGGTGGAATCTCAAAGAATATACTGCAGACTATATACTCTTTAATCTTCATCAGTAGGTGCTTCAAGTCATCTTCACTTTCAGCAAGCAAGGCTGTATCATCTGCATATTACAGGTTGTTAATGAGTCTTCCTCCAATTCTGATGCCATGTTCCTCTTCAAATAGTCTAGTTTTTTCGATTATTTGGTCAGCATACAGATTGAATAAATATGGTGAAGGATACAACCCTGACACACACCCTTCCTGATTATAAACCATACACTACCTCCCTTGTTCTAGTAGAATGACAGCCTCCGGGTGTATGCACAGGTTCCTCGTGAGCACAATTAAGTGTTTGAAATTCCCATTTTTTCTATTTTATCCATAATTTGTTGTGATCCACATAGTCAAATGCTTTTGCATAGTCAATAAAACATAAGTAAACATCTTGCTTTCATCCACGATCCATCTGAGATCAGCAATAATATCCATCGTTCTACATCCTCTTCTGAACCCAGCTTGTGTTTCTGGAAGTCTCTATCCATATACTGCTGCAAATGTTTGGAATTATTTCCAGCAAAATTTTACTTACATGTGATATTAATAATATTGTTTGATAATTTCCACATTCTGTTGGATCATGTTCTTTGGAATGGGTACAAAAAGGGTTCTCTTCCAGTCAGTTGGTCAGGTAGCTTTCTTTCTTCCAAATTTCTTGGCATAGATATGTACCTCCAGTGCAGCATATGTTTGTTGAAATATCTCAATGGGTATCCCATCAATTCCTGAAGCCTTGCTTTTCACCAATTACTTCAGTGCAGCTTTGACACCTTCCTTCAGTACCATTGGTTCTTGATCATATGCCACCTTCTGAAATAGAAGAACCTCAACAAACTCTTTTTGGTACAATGACTGTGTATTCCTTACATTTTCTTTTGATGCTTCCTGCATGGTTCAATATTTTGCCCACAGAAACTTTCAATATTGCAACTCAAGGCTTGAATTTTTTCTTCAGCTCTTTCAGCTGAGAAATGCCAAGCATACTCTTACCTTTTGCTTTTCTAACTCCATGTCTTTGCACATCATAATAAGTAACTTTGTCTTTTCGAGCTGCTCTTTGAAATCTTCTGTTCAGCTTTTTTATCTTGTCATTTCTTCCATTTGCTTTTGACTGCTAACCAGAAGGCTGGTGGTTCAAACCCACCAGCCACTCCTCGGAAGGAAGATGGGGCAATCTACTTCCATAGTGATATTGCCTCGGAAACCCAAGGAGGGGTTGCTATGAGTCAGTCCGACTCGAAGGCACATAACAACAACAACAACAACAACAACAACAACAACAACAACAACTCTCTATTCAAGAGCAAGCTTCCATGTCTTTTCTGACATCCGTTTTGGTCTTTTCTCCCTTTCCAGTCTGTTTAATGACCTTTTCCTTTCTTCATGTATGATGTTCTTGATGTCATCCCACAATTTATCAAGTTTTTGGTCACTGGTGTTCAATGTGTCAAATCTATTCTTTAGGTGGTCTCTAAATTCAGGTGGGAAGTAATCAAGGTCATATTTTGGCTCTCATGGACTTGTTTTAATTGTCTTCAGTTTGAACTTGAACTTGCATATGAACAATTGATGGTCTGTTCCACAGTCAGCTCCTGGACTTGTTTTGGCTGAAGATAACTGAGCTTCTCTATCACATCTTTCCACAGTTGTAGTCCATTTGATTCCTTTGTATTCCATATGGTGAAGTCTATGTGTATAGCCACCATCTATGTGGCTGAAAAAAAGGTATTTGCAATGAATAAGTCATTGGTCATGCAAAATTCTATTATGTGATCTCTGGTGTCATTTCTATCATCAAGGCTATATTTTCCAAGTACTGATGATTCCTCTTTCTTTCCAACTTTTATGTTCCAATCACCAGTAATAATCAGTGCATTTTGATTGCATGTTTGGTCAATTTCAGACTGCAGAAGTTGGTAAAAATCTTCAATTTCTTCATCTTTGGCTTTAGTGGTTGGTGCGTAAATTTGAAAAATAGTAGTATTAACTGGTCTTCCTTGTACGGGTATGGATATTATCCCATCATTGACAGCACTGTACTTCAGGATAGATCTCAAAACATTCTTTGTAACAATGATAGCCATGCCTTTCCTCTTCAATTTGTCATTCTTGGTATAGTAGATCATATAGCTGTCTGATTCAAAATGGCCAAAACCAGTCCATATCAGCTCAGTAAACCTTAGGATATTGAACTTTATGTGTTCATTTCATGTCTGACAACTTCTAGTTTTCTTACATTCATACTGCATACATTCCACGTTCTGATTATTAATGGATGTTTGCAGCTGTTTCTTCCCATTTTGAGTCATGCCCCATCAGCCAATGGAGGTCCTGAAAGCTTTACTCCATCCACGTCATTAAGGTCAACTCTACTTTGAGGAGGCAGCTCTTTCCCAGTTGTATTTTAAGTGCTTTCTGACCTGAGGGACTCATCTTCCGGCACTATATTTGACAGTATTTTAGGGCTATTCATAAAGTTTTGTAGTAATATATCAGACAATGTTTCATTGCTATTCATAAGGTTTTCACTTGCAAATTCTATGAGAAGTAGATGGCCTCTTCCTTCTTCTGAGTCTGTCTCAGTCTGGAAGCTCTGCTGAAACCTGTCCACCATGGGTGATCCTGCTGGTATTTGAAATATTGGTAGCATACCCTCCTTACTCACAGCAAGCTACCACAGTACAATAAACTGACAGATTAGTGGTAGACCTGCTGTCTAGGCCCAGTCATATTCTTGCCACTCAGAATCCTTACAGGTAATACCTTGGATTGTCAATGCCAGTCCTATCATAGTAAAGTTTATACTCTCGTCTACCCTTGAGTGATGAAAATGGTTAATGCATTTGAATACTAACCAAAAGGAAGTATGAATCTACCCAGAGACTCCTTGGAAGAAACCCCTGGCAATCTACTTTAGAAAAATCAGCCATGTAAAAAGCTCTATGAAGCATAGTTCTGCTGATACACATGGGGTCACCATGAGTTGGAGTCAATTAGGTGGCAACTGGTTATAGTTTTGGCTTAATTTCTCAGCTATTCTAAATAAATTCTTACTGTAGTATTTGGAAATACAAAAGGAAAGTTTTGAACATACAAAGAATGAGTATATCACTTTGCTGTCACTGTTGTTGTTGTGTGCCATTGAGTTGGACCTGACTCATAGTGACCCCTCCTTGGGTTTCTGAGGTGGTACCCAAGGAGGGGTTGCTATGAGTCAGATCTGACCCGATGGTACATAACAACAACAACATCACTATGGAAGTAGATTACCCAACCTTCCTTCTGAAGAGTGGCTGGTGGGTTTGAACTGCCAGCCTTCTGGCTAGCAGTAAAGTGCCTTAGGCACTATGCTACCAGAGCTCCTATACCACTTTGTTGTTGTTGTTGTTTGCTGTTGAGTCAGCCCCGACTCATAGCGACCCCTCCTTGGATTTCCGAGGCAGTATCACTACGGAAGTAGGATTGCCCAACCTTCCTTCCGAGGAGTGGCTGGTGGGTTTGAACCGCCAGCCTTCTGGTGAGCAGTCAAATGCCTTAGGCACTATGCTACCAGAGCTCCTTATACCACTTTAGTCTTAAGTAAATGATGACTTTTTAAATATAGTTTGCTTATAGGTACAGACATAGACTTACCTCTCTCAAAGGAATTTTTAATATCATTGACTTCCACCTGGGAACCAGACACTCTGAAAATCCCCTGATGCTGAAGACCTAAAGAGAACAGAAGGGAAAGAGGATAAAATTTCTATCACATCTTCAAGGTTCCCTCTTCCCCAGTAATTAAATATTAAATAGAAAGACACATTTACTTAAATACTCTTAGTGATTATCTTTTAAAAAAGAATTCTGTAGTTTATGGCTTACCATAGAGATTGATGAACCGGATACAGCTTTCCACAATGAGGGGGATAACCTGCCCTGAGTCCTGGGTAAAGAGATGGAAACTAGTTAACCTCAAAGAAAAGGTAGAAATCAGGTGTGAAAGGAAAGCTTACAGTATAACAGTAATGAAAGAGTGATTTTCATCCCTGTGCTGAAAGTGATCTTTTCCAACTTCACCCCCTCTAAAATCTTCTATAAGGGCAAAAAAAAAAAAAAAAAAAAGGAACTTCCTCAACATGATGAACAGTATTTACTAAAAAAAAAAAAAAAAAAAAAATAAGGGAAAAAAAAAAAAAAAAAAGAGAAAAGGGCGGGGGGTAATTATATTTAACCAAGGCATGTATGAGTCCTGGAGTCCTGGAGCAAACCAAAGTAAATGCATTTAAAGCAATCTTGTTTCAATTAACTCTGTTATGTCTAGAGAAGTCAAAAGCAAATTTATCTCTTTTACTGACACTTAGGCTCATGTGCTCAAGTGAATAAATGGATCACTCATATTTTTTAAAGTTATTCATAGAAATAATTAATCTTTAATGGACCTGAAAAGAACTCTCTGTATTACAAGCATAACATGTTAGACTCGACTGGTTGTACTAGTCACCCAGGACAACCGCTCAGCTACCTCAAGGATCCTGAGATTACTGAGAACATGCCGTGGAAGTGACACCACTTATAAAAAGGCTTCCATGTTTATAGATGCATGATACCAGAATTGCTTAGTAGGTACTTATAACACGTCATGTATTTATTTAGTTTGCATCAGAACTTACTCCCCTTACAGGTTTTTCATGTTTTAAAAATTAAGAACAACATCGCACAAATGCATATCCCATTAGATGTTGCTTTCTTAGGAAGGAACATTTTTTGGCCTTCATTCTGCACGTCTTATAATAGAGTCACTGCACGCTACTGAACAAATGTGAATTCTAAAAATGCTTTAAAATGTGTGTAAGATGACAAATGAGATGAAGGAGCTGCTGCGGACACAATTAAATATGTATCAATGCCATGCACTCCATGTAGTTAAAGAAGGTTACTGACTATGAAGTTATTTTTCATGTTCTTTTAAAGACTCTGCTCTTTAAGGAATTAGATCTTTGGAAATAAACCTTGGGGTTAAAAATTGCTTAGCTGACCTCAAGTCCCAATTCATGAGGAATTTTATTCTGAAACACAAGAACTTGGTTGTCTTAATTTATTAGAACAATTCAGTATCTAGTAACCTTTGCAATTAAGCAGCAGGGGAAGGACTGGGAATAATGTGGTTGAGTAATTTAAACTCTTTATTCTTCCTAAAATGGATAATGCCTTTCTGAGGCATTATCTTTCTGAGGAACAGTTTTATTTTAGGTTTTAAGACAATCCAATCAGTGTATAAACCAGCTAATGGTTCAATTACTTCTGGAGTCCGTATTAAATTTATCTAATTAGTTCATTTGTGTTAGGGGTGTAAATTTCTTAAATAAATGCCTTAAGAATAACAGCCCTTTAGTGTGGACTTGTTGGCTCCGGAACAGCTCTACAATTAAAATGAAACTCACTGTATACGTGAGGAGATTTTTCTTTAAGGTTCAAGTATGCTTTGGGGGAGTAACCTTTATATGAACAGTTCATGTAACAATGTAATCTAAAAGACAACAGACATTTAAATGTAAGTGAAAAAAGGAGAATATTAGTTTATAGCTCTGCTGAACCTAGTATCAAAACAAAAAGAAAAACAAAGAATAAAAGGTTCTTAAAAGGAAAATGTTCACACTAAGAAAGTTCAAAATAAAAATGTTTTATGTTTCATGGTATTGACAACATATTTTTTGTCCTTACTTTACAGGTAACTGCTAATCTTTTAATTATTAATATTTCATTCAGATACAATGAATTTTATAGTGAAAAAAATGAGAACATGTGTGTATCTGCATGTGCGTGTGTGTGTGTTTTAATTTAATTTCATGGATGCCAGATGCTTTGGTAGAAAATATTTCACAAGATGGAAAACAATGGGCTGTCTTCCATTTACCATCCAAACAATCTCCTTGTGTCTCAGTTTCCCTATGGGAAAAAGAGGAAACATGGTTTTATTCTTGTGGTCACATAGTGATATTGCGGAGACTTCAATTAGTCAAGCACTTTTCAGAAGTGTAGAGACCTGTGCTTCCTCTATATCACTGTTATTACCAGTTTTTCATTAATGTGGCATGTTGGAATGGTGAAGAACTCACATGGGTGAATTTTCCATAGTAACTGCTTTACTTCTTTTCAGTACCTAGATTTGGTTTGCTTTAACTGTTCTTAATAATAAAAAAAAAATCTTTAAAAAATACAACATGTGCATTCCGATCATCCTAAGTGGTCATTCTCGTACTGTATTATCAAATATAATGGAATCATCCATTTGTTTCTTTGGGCTTTTCTACATTCTCTTTCTCTGCCAGGCCATCAGCTGTACATCTCACTGCTTTCATTATATTATTCCCCTTGCTCCATCTAATTTGCCCTCGCTTATAAGCCATGGGCTGGGAAACGAGGTAATCAAATCTGACAATAATTTTATATTAAGTTACAGCGAATAAGGTTCTTCTGGGTTTATGGTGTAAGGCACTGCAATTGCTATTTAGGCTGTTCAGTGGCTTTTTCACTTAATTCCTGGGTTAAGACCAATTTTGAAGGCTGTGAGAGTTTTAAATCTATCTTCCTATGCACATGTGCATCTATCTGTGTGCACATGCACACACACACACATTTTTTAACCATGAGTGCACATGTTCAATAAACATGTTTTTAAACCCAGTAAGATAACTATAACATATCATTAAGGATGGTTATTGATGATATGGGTTCCCACATAATTTAGTCTTTGTGAACACTGCACCCCATGTCATAAAATTTGTTAGCTATGGAAGAGAATGAAAACCCCTCTTTTTTTGTGTGTAATTTACACTAGAGTGCATAATCCAATAATTATGCATATGGAATTTAATATTGACTTTCCTTAACACAAGGCCTTCACTCAAATTTGATATATCAGCAAATACCTAACATAAAACCTAGGAGTTTGAGCTACCTTGCTTTTATGACAGAAGACTGCTCTCCTTAAGTCAGTGTTTGATTTCCGGAGTTCCTTTCTAAATAAAGCCTATTTACAAACCTGTTTAATTTCAAACTGCAAACATTTTTCTTTTAAAGACCTTAGAAAAATCTTATTACAGCCAAGCATGGTTATGAATAGAAAATGATACCAAGTGTGAAAGCTGCTTTGCCCTCACTTCCCTGTAGCACTATACCTGATGTCTTGTGTGCGAGTTTCTTCGTCCTCGGCTAGAGCATTATCAGAAATACAGAATGAAAAAGAAGACAGAGAGTAAACACAGCAGAGATACAAGATACAGACTACAGGGACTCACAATTTATCCAATATAATGAATTCCTCAAGTCATGGGAAATCAAAACTCTTGCTATGCTTCAGAGCCAGCCTAACAAATGCACTTTAAAAATACATTTTTTGTGCCATCTTTTTGTACCTTAAAAACAAAATATTTTATCAAGTTGCTCATTTACTTTCCATACAAATTAAGCTTTTTCCTTCTTTCTTTTTTTTTTTTTCCCCAAATAAAGAGGAGCTTTCTCTTCGCAGGATAATAGCATCCACTTTTATTCCCTCTTCTAAAGGCACTCAACCCAAATTTTCTTTCCTTTTTGACTTCAGGAAATATTATATTGATTTTCTGGGAAAGCAAAGAGCCCCAAGACAGACTTGGACATAATGACCTGCCTCCTTTTATGAGAGGCTGAGACCATTATAGTAAGAAGTGTGGAGATCAGCCACCCAGATGGCTGGTGCCAGTACCTTGACGAATGTTTCCAAATCCCCATTAAACAACTTAGCATTATACTGTGAGCGGGGTCTGGACTTCCTGTGTTTCTGGGGCTTAGGGGGAACATTTGGAGGCCTAAGGGAAGGGAATATAATTACTGAGCATGGCAGAAATCAAACAATAAATGAAAACACCCATAGGTCACATCAAAATTACAAAACTAGGGAATTCTTGGATTCCTTCCCCACCCCCACCCTCTGTTAGAAAGAGTCCCTCCCCTTTCCCATTTATTTACCTTTATTTATGTATCAAAAAACATAGATGCCATTCATTCAGCCTACTGTTTTCCTCTATGTCATAGCTGGCATTTGTTTGTTTGCTGGTTTGTTTAAAAATCATAAGCATTACCAAATGGAATTGTGAGCTAGTTAGCCAAATGCAACGAAGCCAAGACCCATGTTGTTTGGTTTACGAATCATACAGTAAGACTCCAGGCTCTTAAAAAGAAGGGCTCTGAAAGAGCTCAATATAAGACTTTTAGTTCCAACATAATTCTTCAACGTAAATAATAACATATCTGTTAGATATCCCTCAGGTATTGATGAAATTCTCTTCTTTGCAGAAGTAACTATTAATGGATTACAAGTGAAAAAATATAGTTTCAATGCTATTTCTGAGAAGGGTACAGGCTCACATGAATTATTATTTCTTTAAAACAAACTGTCCCACCGCCTAAATATTTATAGAACATTAAGATGCATGTGTTTATTCCATTCTGGACCCTCTCCGGATCCAGTCTGACTGTGCGCTTTAGTGAATTAGGCCAGTCTTTCCAACATAAGTACATTCAGTGTACCATGAACCCTATTTAGAAACCCTGCATCATCTTGTTTTATAATTGGAGAAAGGGAACCTCTTTGCTTGTCTGCATTAGAGGAATGAGGGCCAGGATTACCTGACTCAATTTCTACAATTGTGCTGAGCAGACTACATTCTCTGGACTCTCCAGTTTAAATGGCTCCTTAATTGCAAGGTTTATACGAGGATGTATATCACATTCGGAAATTAGGTAAAGCCCTTCACTGAGCTGCAAACTCTTAAGGAAGAGCTATCTGTTTGGTTGATTAAAGTTCAGAAAGGTCAGTTTACAATCAAAATCCTAAGAATGTATGTGGAAATCTGACCAGCTGCATAAGATATTACCACAAAAACCAGGGAGTAAGTGCAAGAAACCTGCTGATACAGCCTTCCATAGTCGAATTCTAAGACTCTCCCAGTAGTAGGTGGGTGCATATGACTAACTGTACAGCAAGCAGCAACTGAAGCCCCACAGGGCTTGAGACTCAGTCAAAAGGAGCCTTAGCAAGTTCCTAGAAGCAAATATGGACCCTTCTACCAGGCAGGATGTTATGTTCTACCACAGCAGTGACATTATTAAAAAAAACCCAAAAGCCTTAAAACTTTGCAAGTGGCCATCTAAGCTATATCTATTGGTCTCTACCAGTCTGGGACAAAGGAGACAGAAGGAAACCAGAGACTCAGAGAAGAAAACAGTCTATAGGACTAAGAGGCTACATGAACCACAGCTTCATCTAACCTGAGACTAGAAGAACTAGACTGTACCCTGTCACCATTACTGATCGTTCTGATTGGGGCCACAGTAGAGAGATCCTGGTAGAAAAGGAGAACAATGTGGAACAGAACTCGAATTCTTAAAAATTCCAGACTTACTGGACTGATTGAGACGAGATGACTCCCTGAGACTACTGCCCTGAGATCTTCTTTAAATCTTAAACCTGACTTATCCCTTGAGGTCACCCTTTAGCCAAATAACAGTTTGGCTCATAAAATAAAGAATACCACACATGAGTAATGAGTTCCTTTAAAAATCATCTATATGAGACTAAATGGTCAAAAATTACTCTTAAGTGAAGATGAGAAGGGTAAAGAGATAAAGAAACGAAAATACTGGAAATGGTACAACCAGAATGAGATGAATGAGAATGATGACACATTGTGAAATACATAATTAATATAAATGAATTATATGTATAGAAATTCCTAAAGGGGAACCTAATTTGCTGTGTAAACTTTAACCTTATTCACCATGAAATAGTATTAAAAAAATAAATCTAACAAACAAACAAAAAATTCCAGAAGTCCATTGTCATCAAGTTAATTCTGATGCATGGTGACCCTATATGTTGCGGAGTAGAACTGCTCTATAGGTTTTCTTGGTGATTGGAATGTGAAAGCTGGGAACAAAGAAGAAGCATTGGTAGCTGGAGATTGGAAAATATGTCCTTGGTGACAGAAATGATGCTGGAAATTACATGAAAGAATTTAGCATGACCAATGACTTATTCATTGCAAATACTTTCCTTCAACAACATAAGTGGTGACTACAAATATGGACCTCACCAGACGGAATACACAGAAACAAATAGACTATATCCATGAAAGAGGTGATGGAGAAGTTCAATATCATCAGTCAAAACAAGGCTAGGAGCTGGCTTTGAAACAGACCATCAATTGCTCATATGCAAGTTCAAGTTGAAGCTGAAGAAAATTTAGACAATTCCACGAGAGCCAAAATATGACCTTGAGTATATTCCCCTCTGAAGAACAGATCTGATGCACTGAACATTAGTGACCAAAGATCAGATGAGTTGTGCAATGACATCAAGACCATCATAGATGAAGAAAGTAAAAGGTTATTAAAAAGACAGGAAAGGAAGAAAAGACTAAACGGATGTCAGAAGAAATTCTGAAACTAACTTCCTCTTGAATGGAGAGTAGCTAAAGCAAATGGAAGACATGATGAAATAGTACAGCTGAACAGAAGATTTCAAAGGGTGCCTCTAGAAGACAAAGTAAAGTATTATAATAAAACATGCAGAGACCTGGAATTAGAAACCCAAAAAGGAAAAACATGTTTGGCATTTCTCAAGCTGAAAGGACTGAAGAAAAAATTCAAGCCTCGAATTTTAATATTGAAGGATTCTGTGGGCAAAATATTGAACAATGCTGGAAGCAACAGAAGACAGAAGGAATACACAGAGTCACTGTACCAAAAAGAACTTGTTGACATTCAATCATTTCAGGAAGTAGGACATGACCAAGAACTAATGGTACTGAAGGAAGAAGTCTAAGCTGCACTGAAAGAATTGGCAAAAAACAAGGCTCCAGGAATTGACAGAATACCCATTGAGATGTTTCAACAAATGGATGTGGTGTTGGAGGTGCTTACTCAGTTATGCCAAAAAATTTGGAAGACAGCTACCTGGCCAACTTACTGGAAGAGATTCACCTTTGTGCTCATTCCAAAGAAAGGTGATCCAACAGAATGTAGAAATTATCGAACAATATCATTAATATCACATGCAAGTAAAATTTTGCTGAAGATAATTCAAAATGTTTGTAGTAGTATATTGACAGGGAACTTCCAGAAATGCCAACTGGATTCAGAAAAGGACAAAGGATAAGGGATATCACTGCTGATGTCAGATGGATCTTAGCTGAAAACAAAGAATGCCAGAAAGATATTTCTGTAAACAGAAAGTTTACCCGTGTTTTATGCACTATGCAAAGGCATTTAACTGTGTGGATCATAACAAATTATGGGTAACTTTGTGAAGAATGGAAATTCCAGAGCACTTAATTGTGCTCATGAGGAACCTGTACATAGACCAATAACAGAACAAGGGAATACTGCATGTTTTAAAACCAGGAAAAGTGTGCATCAGGGTTGTATCTTTCACCATACTTATTCAATCTATCTTGAGTAAATAACCAGAGAAGCTGGACTACATGAAGAAGAACGTGGCATCAGGATTGGAAGAAGACTCATCAACAACCTGCCATATGCAGATGACACAACACTGCTTGCTGAAAGTAAGGAAGACTTGAAGCACTTACTGATGAAGATCAAAGATTACAATCTTCAGTATGGATTACACCTCAAGATAAAGAAAACAAAACTCTTCACAAGTGAACCAATAAGCAACATCATGATAAATGGAGAAAAGATTGATGTTGTCAGGGATTTCATTTTACTTGAATCCACAGCCAACATCCATGGAAGCAGCAGTCAAGCAATCAGACTTTGTACTGCCCTGGGCAAATCTGCCACAAAAGACCTCTTAAAAGTGTTGAAAAGCAAACATGTCACTTTGAAGACTAAGGGACATCTAACCCAAGCCATGGTATTTTCAATCGCCTCATATGCATGTGAAAGCTATACAGTGAATAAGAAAGACTGAAGAATTGATGCCTTTGAATTGTGGTGTTGGAGATCAATACTGAAAATACCATGAACTGCCAGAACGAACAACTCTATCCTGGAAGAAGCGCAGCCAGAATGCTCCTTAGAAGCAAGAATGGTCAGACTTCATCTCACCTATTTTGCTCCTGTGGTCAGAAGGGAATATTCCTTGGAGAAGAATATCATGCTTGGTTAAGAGGAGAGTCAGAGAAAAAGGGGATGACCCTCAATGAGATGGATCAACACAGTGCCTGCAATGATGGGTTCAAGCATAGCAGGGATTGTGAGGATGGTGCAGGACTGGAGAGAGTTTTGTTCTGTTCTATGCAAGGTCACTATGAGTTACAACTGACTTGAGGGTGCCTAACAACAGCAACCTTTATAGAAGCAGATCACCAGATCTTTCCCCTACAGCGCCACTGGGTAGGTTTGAATTTCCAACCTTTAGGTTAGCAGTCAATCACAAACTCCTTATGCCATCCAGAGACCTGGAGTAACAATACAGAACCTTGAAAATCAAATTGCCTGTTTCTGTCATAGGCATACTAGTGTTCTAAATGCTTCTAACCACTAAGAAAATGCAACTTCAAATGTGCAAAATCTTGCTTTGTCAATTAGAATAATTTCTGGCTGCTGCACAAATGGTGACAGAGAAATAAAAGCTGCCACAAACTTTTCCCAACTCAAAGTAGAATCTGCTTCCAAAAACATGTTTCAGTAGTTCCAAAATCCTTCCATGACTGACAAAAAAGAGAGAGAGAAGAAAAAGAGAAGGAAAAGGAGGCGGAGGAGAAGAAGGGCACTATGGTTGTAGGAGTTAAATGTTTAAAGTGAACTAAAAAGGAATAGAGAGCTAAAGCCCTTCAAGTATTTAATATAGCCCTTATTGTTATCTATCATAAGGGATTGCAGAAGCAGGAAGTAACTAACCATACTTTCCACTTGTTATCTCAATAAGTAAGCATAAAATATTGCTTGTTAATTTAATTATCAAATAAAAAATTTTGTCATACTATTTCTAGAAAGTTAAAATGCTTTGGCAAAATGAATCAAGACCTAGTCACCTTAGGTCCTTATTACTGTATCTGCTTATTAAAGAGCTTCACAATTCCATTTGGAATTTTCATGAGAACTCCAAATATTTAATGTTGCTATACACTGTCAACTCAAAACTATCTTCCATATACATTAACAAAACATGTTCATTCTTGCAGCATTTAAATGGTGGCTTCTTATCAAAGAAAAAAGAGAGATATGAGGACTTACTATAAAATATTTTCCTACCTTGTAGTCATATATTCAGCTCTATGACCTGCAGATACAAAATTACAAGTAAGTTAAGGTAGTCAGTGGGGTGAACTTCAAAATCTTCTACCTCATCTGTCCTTTATTTAAAGGTGCTGAGTTTATAGTAACTTACACATTTTATGGGTAAAGCATAAATTAGCATATACTGATAAACAAATAATTCAAAGAAAATATTTTGTAAAATCTATGGGTAAAAGGAGCTTTGGTGGTGTAGTGCCTAAGGTATTTGACTGCTAGCCCAAAGGTTGGCAGTTCAAACCCACCAGCCACTCTTCAGTAGGAAGATTGGGCAATCTACTTCCATAAAGATTTACCACCTTGGAAACCCAAAAGGGGGTCACTATAAGTTAGAATCGACTCAATGACAGTGAATTTGGTTTTGGTTTTGGATGGGTAAAATTCAATAAATTCTATAGATGGGAGAAACCTATCATCTGGCAAGTTGGGGCAGGGAACTTTTTTAGTTTTACTTTATTTTAAATAAGAAATAGCTGCTTATTCTTAGCTGTTAGTTAAAAGGTGAAACAGAAATAAAATGCATCCCAAATTCTACTGTTGGTTATTCCCTATCTTGATTGATACTTGGGGGCAAAAGTAGGTGGTCAAATAGGGTTGGAAGAACTCAATTTCCTTTATATTAAATTGGTGTTCTTTCTGTAATATGAAATTGAGGGACTGGAAAAGAGACTGTATTCTATAATCAGAAATGACATTTGCTGATATTAAAGTATAAGGACATTAAGTTATGCTACGTTCTACCAACTGTAAGCTAAAAGCCTTTCATAGAGTTCTCTGTCATTTAAAATACAAGGCACTTCTTATACATTTGGCTTCTTGACTAATTTTAAATAATAAGCCTATATTTTTGCTGTGTTCCTATAATCTGAGTTAATTTCAAAGCTGAATGTCTCTGTGGTTGGCCCTGTTCTTTATCTTACATTTAGGGTCGAGCAGTGGGAAGAGGTGTGGGAGAGTTGGACCATTCAATTGTTTGACTGCAAAATGATCATATAGTTGTGAAACAGCTTGGACATACAGCTGGCAGAGGAGGGTCATACTGCACACAGACAGGTGAGCCCAGCCTACCATATCACAATACGGTGATACACTTATGTAGAATAAAGCAATTACAATAGTGGAGGAAGCTGGCTTGTTCTGAATGAACACTCCCAGGCTAAAACAGAGTCTTGTACTGTATTATCTGCTCTTGATGAGCAAATAATAAAGTATTTGGTTAATTATCTATTTACCAAACATGGAAAAACAGCTAATTTCAGAGAATATCTTTCTCACCACAGATCCAGGCCACTATTAATATTTGTAGAATACTTGACCATGATGTGGAGTGGGTTTGGGGAAAATAATACCCAATTTTTCCCCACTCTGCTCAGTTCTACCTGTCTAACTACAAGTGCCTTCCTTTTGCTGGCCTTCTGCTACTTTGGGGCAAGAAGCCAGAAGGGAAGATGGGCACAGAACTCCAAAATAATTTATAGTTACTCACTAGAAGATTGAAAGTGACCAGAAAGGGGAAATGGCAGAGAGTGAGCCAAGTGTGGTATGCAGTGTCTTATCAGAGATCTAACAGAAGTGTCAACAGGAAACTGGCTATACAGAGTCAAAGCACAGACAAGAAGACAGGGCTTGGGAGTCACTACCATTTAGGTTATGTTGAAGTCAGGGGAATTAGCTGAGATCACCGGGGTGAGTCAATAGAATGAGCAAAAGGTTGAGAGCAGAGAAACTATTTAGACTGTATTCTATCATGTGGCATTCTTTATCACAATATAAAAGCACGACACAATATATATTAGAACAATAGAAACAGCAGCGAATTTTAACTTTTATCAGACACTGTTTTAAGCATTTAATACAGTAATTCACTTAATCTTTACAACCACCATATGAGGTAGGTACTATTGTAGTCCCCACTTTACAGAAGAGGAGATAGAGCATACAGAAGCTAAGGTCATGCTCTAGTAAATGGTGAATCTAGCACAAGAGTCCAGGTTTGATTTAATTCCAGACCTGAGCTCCCAAGTTCCATACTATACTACCTTTAAGAATGAAAGTCTTTTTATTCCCCCCTAACAAATACTTTGGAGATCCTAGAAAGTTCGGATTATGGCTTATATTTCTATCTCTACATTTGACTAATGCCAAACAAAAACACCACAGAAGATTTTAATAAATATCTATAAAATTAAACTAAATAACAAAGATTATTTAATCACTATCAAAAGATTCCAACTGCTGCTAATAATTTCTTAGAAATGAAATACTTTGTAACTTTGAAATTTTGCTGTTTTGTTCAAATATCTTATCCAAATATCCCCTAGACTTAGGGAAAAAATCATATACAAAATGGCTTAAAATTATATTGCTCCATCCATCTATGTATCCATCTGGTTAACAGTGAGAGATCAAAAATTTAAAACCTATAAAAGACACATTTTGAATAATGAACCAGGAACAACCTTTGCAAGAACTATTACTCACAGCATAACCATACCACCACATCCATTGTTTTTTCACTTAATAGTCCTGAGTATGTCTCTACTGATGAATGAGGCTTTATTTTTTAATCAGTATCATTATTAACAGATCAATAACAAACAGGCTTAGAAGAATCTGCTTCCCAGAGAAATGTGAAAGCTTCCAGTGGTTTGAGGACTGGATTTCAATCACTTTCTTTGGCAGGCTATTTAATTATTAAAAATGACAACTCCTTTTCTTTCCACTTCTATATGCAAGCAATTTGGAGGAAAAATTGACCCAAGGAATAACTTGTTCTTGGAACAAACACTTACTTCAAGTTACTTCATATAATTTCAATTGAGAAACATTAATGAAATGATTCTTCATGCGTAAAAATATTTGAACTCCTTATTTTAAAAGGGAAAACGAAAACTATAGTTTGGTGACTATTTGAGACTAAAAAACTACATTAAGTATTGAAAATGTGCACAGCTCCAACTGGAGAAAGACACCCTGGGTTTCTTGTCCTAACAAATGACTGATAAGGATGCCTGGTGCGACTTTCCAGCCCTTTTCTTCCTTAAGAATGCTATTTATTGCAGTGATTTTCTTAAAAACCTAATTATTCACAATCTGTTTCTCCTTTGACAGTATATTTGTACTCCTATTCAAAGACAGACAATGGATTGTGTGAGGATAACCTACCTAATTCCTCTGTTAGAAATCTTATTCCAAGGGCTAGAAATAAGAAACATGAACCTAAACTTCCAGTGTCAGATTTTCTGGGTTTAGCAAAATTGCACTGATATTTGCATGCCCTTAATGGCAAATACTGCACAAAAAGAATTCAATGTGAACATTAAAGTTCATTACTAAAAAAGAAAAACAAAAAAAAATTTCAGTGCCTCTTTTTTATAGATGTATATCTCACTGACTCCGCTCAATTTAACTTCTCCAATATAAAAACTAATATGATGACAAAGTATATAATGATATTGCTGGAGGATGAAGACAGTGATGATGATGATAACACAACTTTGGTCTTAACAACTCATTATGTATTTCCTTCTATTTCAATAACTACTCTTGAAAGATCTGGAATTCTGAATTTTGATAGTGCCACTTTAAGAGATCAACCTAATTGCTTTGCAACGTTGTAAATCAAAGGACTTACTGGGCCACTGGTAGCCTGCCGAAAAACAAGCAGTAACACAAGTCAAACATATGTCTGTTGTGTAAGAGCAACTGCTAAACTCCTGGGTTAGGCTCTATCTGTTTTCCTATGATGGCATTTTTTGCAGCAGTGAGTCTAGTATAATTCAGAGATGCCATTTCTATATAAAAACTCAGGACTGTGTTCAGACACACCATTTAATCCTGTACCACTAACTTCATCTAGCCAAACACAGGCTTCATAAGGGCTCACCGTAAGATCACCTCACCATGAGACAGACACCATTAGCTTCCTACTGTCCTTTGGTGTAAGCCTATTAACGCAAACAGGGTTGTAGGGAAAGTCAGCAGGCTTACAGTGGTCTAGCTAAAAGGTGGGGGAGTTCTCCATGCTCAGCTTTTCTCTGAGCAAAGCACCAGTGTCAAATCCAGGCAATGACCAGCCATTAGTGTGTAGCCAAGCCTGTATGTGGGGCAGAGAGGTCTGCAACAAACTGGCAAAGTTAATGTGTCTGCTGCCCACCGGAGAACTATCCTGTTTCTTATGCAGAATAAATGGAGTTCTATGAAGGTGTTGTACACCCGAACACAACTTGTGTCACTAAGACATTGGAAGATAATGAAAGAAATTCTAAGATAAAGAAGCAATGGCTTAGAGTTTACAAGGTAAAATATAGCTTAACAAATTCAACACTTAAAGACAGAATCTGGTGTCTACATTCAACAAATTGGCTAACACACACTGTTGTTGTTAGCTGATCTCAAGTTTGCTTCAACTCATTGCAACCCCATGTACAAGAGAACAAAACACTGCCCAGTCCTGTGCATGCCCATGACTACTAGTACGTTTGAGTCCACTTTTGCAGCCACTGTGATAACTCATCTCAGTGGGGGCCTCCTTCATTTTCACTGGTTCTCTACTTTACTAAACATGATGTCCTCTTCCAGTGATTAATCTTTCCCGATGATGTGTCCAAAGCAACAACAGTATTTTGGCTAAAGTATATCACTATCTAAAAATGACATGTAAAATAATATTAAGAGTTGGGACTTTCTCTTCAGCAGACATAAGAGAATCTATGACAAAAAAGTACCAGAAAAGTTTTCAGTATGTGGCCTAAAGTGCATTGATACATGGAGGAAATTCACCAAATACTTAATTTTTGCACACTTGCAATTTCTAAAGTGGTATCCATGCCTGCAGGGAAGGCTTTGAGCCTGGAAGCATCCATCTGCACTTAGGATAATTTATGCCATTTTGGGTTGGCAACTGACCTTGGGGGTATCACTGAAATATTAGGCATTTGTGAAAATGGAAACAAGACTTTACTAGGAAGGAGGAAAATGGGATGTGCTTACTAAAGTAAGGAAACTACTCAAAGATAAAAAGAAAAGGGTTTTTGTTTTCTTCTTAGAGTTAAAACCTACAGAAAACTTGAAAGAATAGTACAGGGAACCCTTTTCTCTCTTGATGTATATATTTTTCTTCTGAACCATTTGAAAGTAACCTGCAGACATGTCATTAAGCAGTTATTAAGAATAAAGACATTCTCCTTCATAGCTGTAATACTATGATCATATCTAGAAAAATTAATATTAATTCAATAATACCATTTAATATAAACTGAAACTCACTGTCGTTGAGTTGGATCTGACTCATAGCAACCCCTCCTTGGGTTTCCAAGGTGGTATCACTATGGAAGTAGATTACCCAATCTTCCTTCTGAGGAGTGGCTGGTGAGTTTGAACTGCCAGCCTTCTGGTTAGTAGTCAAACACCCTAGGCACTATGCCACCAGAGCTCCCACCATTTAATATACAGTCTATAAATTTCCCCAAGATATCTTTTATAGCTTTTGCTCCTTTGATCTGGACTAGTGAGGGTTCACACATTGCATTTGGTTTCTATGTTAATTTTTTTTGGTTAAAGATACTTTTTAGTAGTTTCAATATTGCTTTTTCCCCCTAGGTAAACAGGCTTTTTCTGTCTTAGAGTCTGGCATCCTAACTGTGTAACACATGGAGTCATAGGTCATGATGACCTTTCTCTATATGGTCACTCCCCAAGGATAATGGGCACTTTGGAGAAAACCAAGAGATAAATGGTGATGGATAAAGAAGGTTCTAGAATAGTAGGAAGCAAGAATTTAGATCTAAGAACAGCTGTCTTTTTTGGTCCTGATTCACCCATATAACTCAGTACCTTCATGTTTCACTCTTTCCATATCCTGTTTCATTTTTTGTAACTTATAACAGGATCTACTATGAATAAAAAATAATGAAACTTACAGACTATGAGGAACTTAAGGATTTTGCTTGTATTTTTTTTTCCTTTCAAATTTCATGAAGACAAAAAGAGAAACAATATTTACATAGTCTCATTTGCCTGTAATCCTTTTCTCCCCTCAGTTTCCTTATCTGTTAAAATAGGGAAATTAATAGTGTCCAATGAAATATATAGCTTGGAACAATGATTGGAACATAAAAGAGCCTTATACAGTAAAACCTGTGAAAGCTGGAGCCCGTGTAAGGCAGAAACCTGCCAGAGAAGGAAAATTAAAATACTTCCCACTAATACAGAGTGAGGAGCTCTGGTAGCGTAGTGCCTAAAGGCACTTGATTGCTAACCAGAAGGCTGGTGGTTCAAACCCACTAGCCACTCCTCGGAAGGAAGTTTGGGCAATCTACTTCTGTAGTGATACTGCCTTGGAAACCCAAGGAGGGGTTGCTATGAGTCAGCTTTGACTTGATGGCACATAACAACAACACAACAGTACAGAGTGACAGAAAAGTGGTAAGATTGCACTCTGTCAAAGGTGGACAACTGGAAAGACCTGGAAAAATAAGGCAGTCGTGTTGAGCTCTAGTTCTCACAGGTTTCACTGTACTAAATGTCAGCTACTGTTGTTTTTATTATCATTAGATATAGTAATCTACTTATGTTGTTAATGTTGTGTGCTGTCAAGTTGATTCCAACTAAAACTGCCTCATAGGGTTTTCCAGGCTGTAATCTTTACAGAAGCACATCACTAGGTTTTTCTCCCATGCAGCCACTGGGTGGGCTTGAACCACCAACCTTTTGGTTAGCAGTTGACCACTTATACATTGTGCTACCAGTCCTCTTAATCTATCTGTTGTCGTTGTTGTTATGTGCTGTCAAGTCGGCCCCGACTCATAGCGACCTCTCCTTGGGTTTCTGAGGCAGTATCACTACAGAAGTAGATTGCCCAACCTTCCTTCTGAGGAGTGGCTGGTGGGTTTGAACCACCAGCCTTCTGGTTAGCAGTCAAGTGCCTTAGGCACTATGCTACCAGAGCTCCTGTAGTATTAGATTATTTCTCAACTAAAAGCAATGCCTACTAAGGAAAAAAAAAAAGGCAACAGATGGAACAATAAGCACCTGGCCCATTAAGACAAACAGAAGTAGGGGTGGAAGGGTAGAGAAGTCCAAGGGAAGGAAGAAGTGACTGGGGAAGGGGCTATCAGCAGATGGAAGCAGGTGTGGTTCCTTCAGATGTTTCTACCACTAGCAGCATCATGTTCTACAGATATCTCCTCAGATGCTCTGTGTTAGCTTCTCAGCCCTCCCTAGATTTCACTATTCTTCTGCATGGTTAGTCCCAAGCTTAAAAAAAAAAAAGAATTCCAAAGAGAACTGAATTAATACAGATAAAACCAAATCTAAACATACGGTATTTTCTGCTTCTTAAAACTACAAATACATGCTCCCTACTCTTCAGAATATATAATCCAGGGCATCTTTTCATCTACTCTACATAACTGACCTTCTCCAAGAGTCCTCTGCAGCAAGTCATGTTTGGCTTGAAGTTTTGTGATGAGATTACTGCCTTCCAAATATTCTCTGAGTTTCTGCAAAAGGAAAGATTCATTTTTAGTCATTAAAAAAATAATATCAAGGAACTTCCCATGGGATATCAAAAATCCAGCCACTTTTATCTTTTAAAGATCCTAGACCTTCACTACTCAAAGCACGGTCTGCAGACCAGCAGCATTAGTGTCCCGAGAAAGCCTAAGAGATGCAGACTCTCAGGTCCCGCCTGACCCCCAGATCTACTGAAATCAAAACCCACATTTTAGAAAGCTCCCCTGATAAGACCTGTCTGCACATTAAAGTTTGAGAAGCACTGTTTTAGAGCAGTTGTATGTAAACTTGGTTGTATATCAGAATTACCCGAGGAGGTTTTAAAAGATTTATCAGTTGCCATGGCATAGATTCTGACACATGCAACCCCATGTGTGTAAGAGTAGAAATGTGCTCCCTAGGGTTTTCAATGATTGATTTTTTGGGAAGGAGATCACTAAGTACCTTTCTTCCAAGGTGTCTCTGGGTGGATTTGAGCCACCAATCTTTCAGTTAGCAGATGAGTGTGTTAACTGTTTGCATCACCCAGGGACTCCTGTAAAAAAGTACTAATTCCTAAGCCCTATGCCAGACCTATTAAATCAGGAACTCTGGGAGTGGACAGGAGTCCTCATTTTAATAAAGAGGCCCAGGTAATTATGATGTGACTATAGAAGCAGTATTTGGGACCCCTAGATCTGGGCTGTCAAGTGGCTCGGGAAGCAATGGGCGCACCATGAAGTAAAACTGCTCGGTTTCCTGCTGGTTAGCTCTTCTCTTGGCGATGCTGGGCTTACTCAGGTAGGTTTCAGAGACAGTAGACTTCACGGACTCAGTGGAGCGACTATGCTGGAAGCATTCAGAAACATCATAGTCCTCGATGGTGACCATATCTTGAATCGTCTGCAAAGTTGCTTCAGTTGTTTTTTTAACCTGAGAATAGGGACATATTTTCCATATTAGTACATTTCATGAGTCCCATAAACAGTCAGTGAGAGTCTACTCTGCTGGGCAGAAAGGAGAACATAGACTCTGCTCCCCAAAAGTTCAGTCTATTCTAATAGACAGATAGGTGGACAGAACACATTATCACCAATTATAAGGTAAGCATTTCTTCAAAATCACCACAAGGGAGATACAACTTTATATTTGGGTCCTTATAAAATCTCACATATTACCACAGGTACTCTCTTGATTATGTTTTTGTTTTTAATTAAAAACAAAAAAACAAAAACTTTTAAAGTGAAATAAGCCAGCTGGGCAGAGTGGAATGGGGGTGTTTAGAGGGCCCTGGGGGCAGGCTGGATAAGTGAGCAGGGCATGGAAGACCAGGAAGTGAGTGGAGCAGTTTGGAACAACTAAGGGAGACAAACTTGTCTGTTAGTTTGTTGTACTGTGGAGGCTTGAGTGTTGCTGTGACACTCGAGGCTATGCCACCAGTATTTCAAATACCAGCAGGGTCACCCATGGTGGACAGGTTTCAGTGGAGCTTCTAGACTAACACAGAGTCAGAAGAAGAAAGAGCCCATCTACTTCTAAAAGAATTTGCCAGTGAAAACCTTATAAACAGCAGTGAAACACTGTCTGATATATTACAGGAAAACTTTATAAATAGCCCTGAAACACTGTCCAACACAGTGCCAGAAGATGAACCCCTCAGGTTGGAAGGCACTTAGAATATGACTAGGGAAGAGCTGCCTCCTCAGAGTAGAGCCAACCTTAATGATGTGGATAAAGTAAAGATTTCGGGATCTGCATTTGCTGATGTGGCACGTCTCAAGATGAGAAGAAACAGCTGCAACCATCCATTAATAATTGGAACATGGAATGTACAAAGTATGAATCTAGGAAAACTGGAAGTTGTCAAAAGTGAAATGGAACACTTAAAGATTGATATCCTAGGCATTAGTGAGCACAAATGGACCAGTCTTGGCCATTTTGAATCAGACAATCATATGATCTATAGGCCGGGAATGACAAATTGAAGAGCAATGGCATGTCCTTCATTGTCACCAAGAATGTTTCAAGATCTATCCTGAAGTACAATGCTGTCAGTGGATATGGATATGTCAGTGTCATATGGATAGGATAATATCCATATACCTACAAGGAACACCAGTTACTACTACTATTATTCAAACGTAAGCACCAACCATCAAAACCAAAGATGAGGAAATTGAAGAGTTAACCAATTTCTTCAGTCTGAAATTGACCAACATGCTATCAAGATGTGTTAGTTATCACTGGTGACTAGAATGCAATAGTTGGAAATAAAGAAGAATCACCAGTAGTTGGAAAATATGGCCATCATGATAGAAATAATGCTGTTGTTGTTTTTGTTGTTAGGTGTGGTTGAGTTGTCTTCAACTCATAGCAACCCTATGCATAGCAGAATGAAACACTGCCTGGTCCCACACCAAGTCTGAGATCCCTGCTATACTTGAGCCTGTTGCCACAGCCACTGTGTCAATCCATCTCATTGAGGGCCTTCCCCTCTTTCATTGACACTCCACCTTACCAAGCATGACATTCTTCTCCAGGGAATGGTCCCTTCTGATAACATGACCAAAGTAGGTGAGACGAAGTCTGGCCATTCTTGCTTCCAAGAAGCATTCCAGCTGCACTTCCTCCAGGACAAATTGGTTAGTTCTTTTAGCAGTCCATGGTACTTTCAGCATTCTTCACCAGCACCACAACTCAAAAGCATCAATTCTTCTTTGGTCTTCCTTATTCATTGCCCAGCTCTCACATGCACATGAGGCAATTGAAAATATCATGGCTTATGTCAGGTACACCCTAGTCCTCAAGGAGACATCTTTGCTCTTCAGCACTTGAAAGAGGTCTTTTGCAGATGACTTGCCCAGTGCTATATACATCATCTGATGTCCTGACTGCTGCTTCCATTGGCGTCGATCGTAGAATGAAGCAATGTGAAGTCTTTGACAACTTCAATATTTTCTCCATTTATTGTGATGATGCTTATAGGTCCACTTGTGAGGATTTTTGTTTTCTTTATATTGAGATGTAATCCATTCTGCAGACTGTTTTCTTGAATCTTCATCAGTAACTACTTCAAGTCATCTTCACTTTCAGCAAGCAAAGTTGTGTCGTCAGTGTATCACAGGTTGTTAATGATTCTTCCTCCAATCTTGATGCCACGTTCTTCTTCACATAGTCCAGCTTCTCAGATTATTTGCTCAGCATATAGATTAAGTATGGTGAAAGGACACAACACTGACATACTCCCTTCTTGACTCTAAACCATGCTGTGTTTCCTTGTTCCATTCAAACGACAGCCTCCTGGTCTACATACAGGCTCCTCATGAGTACAATTAAGTGTTCCAGAATTCACATTCTTTTCAATGTTATCCACAATTTGTTATGATCCACACAATCAAAAGCTTTTGCATAGTCAATAAAACACAAGTAAACATCTTTCTGGAATTCTTTGCTTTGAGCCAAGATCCACCAGACATCCGCAATGATATCCTTTGTTCCTTGTCCTCTTCTGAATCCAACTTGCACCTCTGGAAGTTCTCTGTCAAAATGCTACTATAACCATTTTTGAATTATCTTCAGTAAGATTTTACTTCCCTGTGATACTTATAATATTGTTTGATAATTTCACCATTCTGAGGGATTACCTTTCTTTGGTATGGGTACAAATATGGATCTCTTCCAGTCAGTTGGCCAGGTAGCTGTCTTCTAAATCTCTTGGCATAACCAAGTGAGTGCCTCCTATAGGGCATCCTGTAGTTTGCTCAAACATCTCAATGGGTATTCCATCAATCCCTGGAGTCTTGTTCTTCAGCAATTGCTTCAGTGCAGCTTCAACTTCTTCCTTCAATATTATTGGTTCTTGATCGTATGCCACCTCCTGAAATGGAGTGCTTTTTGGTACAGTGACTGTGTATCCCTTCCATCTTCTTTTGATGCTTTCTGCATCATTCAATATTTTGCCCATAGATCTTTCAATATTGCCACTTGAGGCTTAATTTTGTTCTTCAGTTCTTTCAGCTTGAGAAATGCTGACCATGTTCTTCCCTTTTGGATTTCTAACTCCAAGTCTTTGCACATTTCATTATAGTAATTGGCTTTGTCTGCTCGAGCTAATCTTTGAAATCTTCTGTTCAGCTCTTCTATCTTGTCAATTCTTCCATGTGCTTTGTTTACTCTCCACTCAAGGGCAAGCTTCAGAATCTCTTCTGTCATCCATTTTGGTCTTTTTTTTCTCCTGTTTTTAATGACCTCTTGCTTTCTTCATGGATGATGTTCTTGATGTCATCCCATAATTCTTCTGGTTTTCAGTCATTGGTGTTCAATGTATCAAATCTATTCTTTAGATGGTCTCTAAATTCAGGAGGGATATATTCAAGGTCATATTTTGGCTCTCTTGGACTTGTTTTAATTGTCTTCAACTTCAAGTTGAATTTGCATATGAGCATTTGATGGTCTGTTCCACGGTCAACTCATGGCCTTGTTTTGGCTGAAGATACTGAGCTTTTCCATCACCTCTTACCACAGATACAGTCAATCTGATTCCTGTGTATTCCATCTGGTGAAGTCCATGTGTATAACTGCCATTTGTGTTGTTGAAAAAAGGAATAAATCGTTGGTCTTGCAAAATTCTATCATGCAATCTCCAGCTTTATTTCTGTCACCAAGGCCAAATTTTCCAACTACCAGTGATTCTTCTTTGTTTCCAACTTTTGCATTCCAGTCACCAGTGATAATTAAAACATCTTGATCATATGTTTGGTCAATTTCAGACTGCAGAAATTGATAAAAATCTTCAATTTCCTCATCTTTGGCATTGGTGGTTGGTGCATAAATTTGAATAATAGTCATATTAACTGGTCTTCCTTGTAGACGTATGGATATTATCCTATCACTGATAGCATTGCACTTCAGGACAAATCTTGAAATATCCTTTGTGATGATGAATGCCATGCCATTCCTCTTCAAATTGTCATTCCCAGCACAGCAGATCATATGGTTGTCTGATCAAAATGGCTAAAACCAGTCCACTTCAGCTCACTAATGCCTAGGATATTGAACTTTATGTGTTCCATTTCATTTTTGACAACTTCTAATTTTCCTAGATTCATATTTCATACATTCCCTGTTTCAATTATTAATGGATGTTTGCAGCCGTTTCTCCTCAATTTGAGTTGTGTCACATCAAGAAATGAAGGTCTTGAAAGCTTTACTTTATTCATATCAGTAAGGTTGGCTCTACATGTGGCACTTTTCCAGTCCTATTTTGAGAGCCTTCCAACCTTAGTAGCTTGTAGTCCTGCACTGTATCAGACAGTGTTTCTGGGCTATTCATATAGTTGCCTAGTAATGTAACAGTGTTTCTTTTCTATTCATAAGGTTTTCCCTGACTAATTCTTTGAGAAGTGGATGGCCTCCTCCTTCTTCCTAGTCTGTCTCAGTCTGCAAGGTGTGCTGAAACCTGTGCACAATGTGCAACCCTGCTGCCATTTGAAACACCAGTGGCACAGCCTCAAGCCTCACAGCAACATGCCACCAGAGCACGACAAACTGACAGACAGGTTTATCTCTTTTAGCTATTAGAAACCTCTCTTCCCTCCCATTACCTGGATCCTTGCCACTTGCTCTCTCTGTCCTAATCTCCCTGGCTTTCTTTCCTTTCCCCTCTGCTCTCCTGCCACTTGGGGTGTGGGGCCTGGGTCCCTCCCCTTACCTACCTGGATCCCTCTGCTGCTTGCTCACTCTGTCCTGGTCCCTCTGGCTTTCCTTTCTTTACCTCTCTGCTTTTCTTGCTGCCTGGGGGTTGAGACCTGGGTCCCTTTCCTTACCTGGATCCCTAGGCAACTTGCTCACTCTGTCCTGGACACCCTGGCTTTCCTTTCCTTTCCCCTCCACTTTTCCTGTCACTTGGGAATTGGGGCCTGGATCCCTCCCCT